ATATAAAATATTATATTGTGTAAAATATTAGATTGTGTAAAATATTATATTGTGTAAAATATTATATTTCAAAGTAAAGGGCGGTTTGCTGGGTGGAAAATAGTGCTAACCCTTGTTAAGGGCCGACGAATCGTATACCGCTGGTCAAAGAGCGAATACTTTAATAAAACGAAGTACATGAAACAAGCTTCATTAGTTAAGAAAATATTTATTCAAAATTTAAAAGTTAAATTTCAACCAAGTGTAATATCATAACAAAATCACAATTAGTCTGTTCAGTTTTCTCAATGTGAGTGGTGAAATTGGCTTTCTTAATCTTAAGTGTCTCTGCGGGCCGAATTAAGAGGCCCAACGGGCCGCATCTGGCCCGCGGGCCGTAGTTTGGAGACCCTTGCTATAGACTGATATCAAGTGCTTTTCAGATGTTAAGTAACATAGGTTTTGTGTCTAAAATCTGCTTTAAAAAGTGTGAATATATTGTTCGTGCATGAAAGCCCAAAATATTATTGAATCAAGTTGAATTGTTCTGGCTCATTTCGTTAATTGCCTTTGCATATCTGCAAACATTTATTTAAATGCGTTATTTTCTCGCCCTGAGTTTGTCATTGTCTGCCTTCAATTGGTCATTGCTTGCAATAACTTGGTGAATTCTTGCCCTGAGTTGTTCATTGTCTGCCCTCAATTCGTTAATTTGCCTTTGCATATCTGCTAACATTTGCCTAAATTCGTTATTCTCTGCCCTCAAATGGTCATTGCTTGCAGTCAAATCGTCAATTCTTGCACTGAGATGGTTATTTTCGGTTCTCAAATTGTTCTCTCCTTGAACGATTTCTTTAAGCAATTCTGCAATCTTTGACGATTGCTCGTCTAACAATCCATTCATTTTCGGTATTTCAGGTAAAACCAAGTTATTCAATTCGGTTTTAAATTTGACATTAGAAACTTCTTTCCTGAGATTGCCCACATTGTCGACAAGACCATGTACGTGCGTTTCAATGTTTTCCATGTATCGATTGAATGACTAAACTTTATAGCTGTTTCCGTGTCTGTAAATAGTTGAAAATATTTATTAGCAATTCATGATAAGTCTTAACAATCTTAAAAAGTGTTATCCTTATTGTTTATGTAATTTCGTAGAAGCACTATTGCTAATACGCATTTAATATGTACGACTAGTTTTTTAAAATGGATATGCTTCGACATCTCATGATGTCATCTTTAGTATAAGTGAAATAATAAATTATCTTCGTTGTTGACATTTGGTAGTGGAAAGCAGAGAAACTATGGATAGACGCCGACTGAAAGACAATCTTTAAGAAACTTAGCATCTAGTTCTGCTTTCCTTTGTTTGGTTTAAAGCTTTTCAGACTTCCGCATTTCTTATAGGGAGACCTTTCCTTCGTATTTTTGTGCTATGTCGTAAATAATGTTTCCATAGAAGCACTATAGACATGTTTCGACATCTCATGATGCCATCTTCAGTATAAGTGAAATAATAAATTATGTTGGTTGTTAACATTTGACATAATACAAAACCCGATAGCACAAATTATCCTCGCGTTCGCTAACAAAACTCTCAAGCAATAAAATTAGCACCAGTTAAATGTGAAATTTCTAATCTATCATCTGGTCTTACTTTTTTTAAAACAGCTAAAGTATTTTGCGACATATTTGAGATTGAAGAACTCTTAAAAAATTCACAACAATTTTACATTCACAACACATTGTCACTAAAGCGTAGCAAAAGACGGGGCAATGACAAAGTTGACTTACTCATCCGATCATTATTATGATGAAAGGAAAATATCTAACCTTGTTTTTTTCCGTCCAACTTGTTCTTCTTTAATCTATCATTGGTACTAAGAGATAGGTTCCTTATATGCTGACGCCTGATCGTTATTATCTTTATTTTTTAATTTATTATGAAAGACATGTTTCGACATGTCATCTTCAGTATAAGTGAAATAATAAATAACACAACGTTATTGTATTATATAAAAGTAATATGATACAAACCTTATAAAAACCTTATACAAACCTTTTTATATAAATCTTGTGTTATTTATTATTTCACTTATACAGAAGATGGCAACATGACATGTCGAAACATGTGTATTTTAAAAAAACTTGTCGTGTATATTACATGCGCATTAGCAATAGGGCTTTTACAAAATTATAAAAATTTATTATGACATCATAAATTGATGTCACAATATTTTCAGAATAAATACAATACCACGTGTTATTTGTCACGTGGCTGGAATGAAAACAATTCCACCAGCTATAACTAACCTCATTTGGCTCGGTTATATTTGCATAACATGAAGCTTTGACCACAAAGATTAATTTTTGTAGTTCAAAGATTTGTCTTAAATTTTTAAAAAACACTTACTTTTTAATGTCAACCCATATTGAATTTAAAATTTCAAGATGAGTTGTCGGTTTCGTTATGCTGTTGTCATGAAATTGAAACAGGTCAAATCTGTCAAAGAACGTGACTGATTTATATCATAATCCTCTTTTAGTATTGTTTTTTTTTAAAAAAGACGATTATGCATCTGACATTGTGAGGCATTTTTAGTAATGGACCATCAAATATTCATTAAAAATAATTTATTTACCTCTTGAATGGTTACAAAAACAAATACAAGGATATGAAACCATGCTAACACGTTTTAAAAACGACTTTGGTGACAGTTGTGTTTACGTTGGTGATGTTTGGGTAACATATTAAGTCAAAAATTTTCATCAATGTGCCGAATATTACTTTTGGCTAACTGAGGATGACAGTTTCAGTTTTTTTGCTTATATGTTTGGTGTTTAAATGTGCATATATGGAAAGTGCAAAATTATGCTTGCAAAGTTTTTCTTTCACTCTTGTTATTTTTAAATTGTGACACATTTTATACTACATTCCTGGCAAATTAGAGAATTGTGAAATTAAAGACAGTGCAGTATATGTACAAAATGTTTTAAAGGAATGAGATCTTAAATATTTTAGCTTATCCATGCGTTCACTTACAAAACTTTCTAGCATCAGATAAATGCGAAAATTCTAATCTATTCGCCGGTATTACATGTTGTAGAATAGCTAAAGTATTTTGCGATATATTTAGGATTGAAGACTCTTCAGGTAATTCACTAAAATTTTACTCATTCACAATCGAACGTCGCTAAAGCGTAGCAAAAGACGGCGCAACAGCAAAGTTGACTTACTCATTCGATCATTCCTGTCATAAAAAGGTAAAAATCTAACCTTAATTAATTGCCGTCGACCTCTTTCTTCCCTTCTTCTTTTGACACACAATGAATGAAATAAGAAAACACAATGGTTTCTCTACTAAGGCCTGAGCTTTAAATAATAATTTATTATGACATCAGAGACTGATGTCACAGTATCTTCCTACTAAATACCATACCACGTTTTATTTGTCACGTGGCTAAACTGAAATTTCGTTTTTGTAATTCGTAGATTTGTCCTAAATCCTTAAAAAATAGACCCGCAATGCGTACATTTGGATAAGTGTAAAATAGAAAAGAATAGAGGATTCTACTGTTGGGCCTTACATGTTTTTGCTCCTAAGGTAAGACCAGAAGTCCACTTGGAAGAAAAAAATTATTAGAGTTTATTAACAACAGTAATAAAAAAGAAATTCGGTGATTCACAAGAAGTTGTTAAAACGAAAATACTGCACATCAGCTATATCTCAGCAATAACATAATTCATGTAAGCAATGTCCTATTTTTGTATGTTGTGTGTAAGATACCCAATAAAAAGGAAAAGAAATTAAGCACATCGCATATCACGAATGAGCTTGATGCGCAAATATAAAACAAAAATGAAATAAACACTGGGAAACTGAAATATGTATCTTCCATTAAAAAGACCCAGTGAACATTTTTTTCGACGTAAAATGACATCAATGATACATGTAAAAAATGTATTTATAAAAAAGATATGCATAATACTGAAAATATTCAAATAAAATGTTTTTATTTATTTTTTAGCATTTCTCGTTTTGTTGTAGTTTGTCAGATCAACCTCGATTCTTGCCGATTACGATTTTCCACGTAGATATCTCGCGAGGTATGAGCTATACATGGTACAATGCAAAGAAATTTTCAAAAAAACAACAAAAAATAAAATTTTTGACGGAACTCCCGTTACCAAAAGTAAAAATAAACATCGATCACCAAGAAAATATGCACTATTTCAGGGAGGAGTAGACAAATTTCAGACGTATGTTGGCTTCATCCAATCACAGGGCATTCTTAATGGAGTTATGATTCCAATACATTTATAATTCAGAGGTTTCGAGAAATCGATTTTGCTGATCCAGAATGCATTGCGCTTTCACAATATGGCGACTGCAAGATGTGATAAAATATAATTCTTCGACAATTTAAACAGTGAAGCTATACTTTTAAAAACAATACAAGGATGTTAAATACATACGCACAAAACTCAAAGCTACGCTACAACATAATGCTTGGGGCGATGTATATTTTTAATTCCTGTACGAAAGCAAGAAATATCATCGATATTCTGACTTTGCTGTTTACAAATTTTTACAGCTTCTTTTGCTGTAAGAGAGATTATAGCACTGTAATTTGGCATTTGGGAGCATTTAGCTTTCATACTTTTGCTAATAGTACTTGTAACACTACTTTCTTGATGATATTTAATGAAACTGCTTAATGTTTCTCAAATGTTTGATCAATTAAATGGCCGCAGTGGTCCTATCCAAACACTTTGGAATGTTGCTCGAATTAAGAAATCGCAAAAATCACTCGCCGTCGGCTCATTTTTGAATAGCACGCTTAATACTTGCATTAAATTTCCCTCCGTGTAGTTTGATAGAATAAATACAAAAAAATGCTTGTTTCACATGTTTTCAAATAAAATTTTTTCGTACACTTATCCGATATAATTCTATTTCCTGAAGAGATTTTGTAAGACAAAGAAAACCACGGCATTGTGACAGAGAATTTTATAGCCATTTCAAAAGCAACTGCGTAAATTTTTTGTATTTTGAAGTTTTCAACCAACTATAACTAATAAAGTTGCAACGTGAAGAGTTCTTTATAGAACTCAATGAAGAACATACACGAAATACAGTCAAATCAAGTTATTTTTCTGCTTCATTTCGTGCATTTCCCTTCTTAAGCTGCCGATTTCTGTTTGCATACTGCTAAACTTTTGATCGATCCCTTTCATTAATTCGACTATCGTTAATAATTGACCGTCCAATAATCCATTCATTTTTGGTATATCAGATAAAACCAAGTTATTCGACTCGGTCTTAGTTTTAACGTTAGCGACTTCTTTCTTGAGATCGACGCAACTGATGCAAGAGAAAGTCCGTGAGTTGCAATGTTTTCCATTCCAATTTAATGACTGTACTTTAGCGCTTACCTCTTTCTGTGTCTACAAATAGTTAAAAATGCTTACAATTAACATGATTAGTCTTAAAGATCTTAAAAATATCAAAAATTGCGCAAACAACCATTTAGTTATGATCTAGATAGCTACTGATCAGGAAAACGTCTTTTGTTCTAAGTTTGTTCTTCAAAACATGTAAAAGCCTAAGTACAGTTGAAGAAATTTGATACGTTTGTTTCTGCGACGACTCTGATTATCATATCTGTCTAATATCAACATGTCATATAAATTTTTATTTGTTTTAACAATACTAGTTTCCAAGATAATGAATCCTTAAGTTCTGTTTTTTATTGGTTGCATGTAGGCATACCCACGATGTTGTATGCTGCTGTAAAGCAAACGCATTCCAAATGACTGCATTCAAAGATTTAACAGGCGTTAATCGCAATTGGAGCAGAATATAGTCCTATCAAAATGTTGTTAAGATAGTAGCAACAAAACTACACGACCCATTGGTGTGAATTTTCATGCATGGTTTCATCTGCCTTTTTTAGGAGTAAAAATTTCTCCTGTTATTATAAAATTTCATTTCAACAAAACAGACGAGTAAGAACTCTATAAGAGAATGCAAACTACGGAATATTGAGGTTTGCTTGATATTGACTTTGTATCATAAGATATACATGTATAAATTCACTGAATGTGCTTGTTATTTCATATTTTTACAACAATAAGGTCATCATTCATAGAGGCTCATTAGTCATTACATCATTTCACGTTTTCTATTTACTTCACCATCTTTTACATTCTTTTAGGAAAATCAACAACAATCAAGAACAAGTACATGCTTAAAGCTCAAAGTAACTTATCAGATGATTGGACTTTGACGTTTACCACCTATATCTAACAATTCTGTTATACATGATACCAAACTAGACAAAATTTAGAATTATAAACCATTATCTTAGTAAAAACAGGCCCCATTCGTTTCGTGTGCACAAAAAGATGTTTGTCTTAAATTCGAGAAAGAATTCCTATTGTAGAACAAAAGGAAAAAATTCAATAAGGTTATATTAAACAAAGCTTAATAAAAAACAATTTATTCATGAAAAGTCGCCATTCTGTTTGTTTGTTGATATTTTTATATACGGCGCTGCTTAGTTAGCTTTCACGAAAAACTTTACATAAACTTGGCTCCATTCTTAATTTGTTTTTAAGTATGACAAGCAGACCTTAAAAGTTAAACATGCATTAACACAACAATTTTCACACATCTAGCAACCTATATTTGCGTACACTTTGCGAAAAAGGGGTACCTACAAGAATTCTTAATTTAGTTGAATATATATTGTCTATTATCTTATATATGATCTCAAATACGTTAACTATACAAGTACAAGTTTATTAGAAATACAACACTGAAAGAAAAAAGACATGTGCTCAATTTTAGGGAAACAAAACTGGCAGTATTTGGTACAGTTTTCTCTGTTTTTGTTAACATTTGCAAAAATTAACTCTAGAAATCTCGCTGAAAATTAACCAAATCCATACTTGCGCTAAAGTATTTGCATATGTTGCATGAAAAAATACTAGTCTAGCTGCTAAAAATTAACTATTGATTAACTAATTTTCCTTGAATTTAATACTAACAATCACTGTTGGCAACTTCGGCAGTTTACAAGTGAATTTCATCATAACATTGCCGAGGACAGAAAAAATAAATTCAAAATAAAATTTTCGATGGCACGAATTGAGCGTAAGTCGTATCACAGCAACTGCCAATACTTTGTTGCTAAGCAATAAGATATAAGCAAATGTAACTTGCGTAATATAAAATAGACAAGAAAACATTTTGAAATAATGATTTGTAAAAGTGTTGATTGAAAAAAAATGGTTGGTTTTATATTGTGGAACTGAGAACAACTTGTAAGGCAAACTTTGTTTGTGCAAATTTTGTTGTCCTCTACCTCAGGAAGAGCTGAGCTTACTAAACCAACGCGTTCTCTTTCATTTTTACCCAAATTGTACTTTAATTATTACAAGTGAAAATGTTTTCACGACGAATGGTTTTTGATAACAAGTCTGAAAATAAAGTGAAATGTTTAATTTTCTGGGATTTTTTTCAGGAGGGAATTTTTGATTGAAAAGACAAAAAAATACGATACAAGAAAAGCTTCCCTTGAGCTCTCTGAAATGCCATAGAAACGGCTTTTCTAGCTACTACTACCATAAAACACTTCCTCAACTTATGCAGAGTATAAATCTTGTACGTAGTAGCGATAAAATTAGTTACATAAAAATTCAAACGTAGCTACATAAGTGTACAAAAAGTACATGCAGTATAGCTTTAGCTGTCATCAAGGGATAAACGTTTTTATAAATACGTCATAAAAATAATTTCATTACGTTTGTCTGTGTTTCGTTCCTACGGACGCTCAAATGATAGAGTTATTTGCTAACTGGGTCTTTTTGTGCGTGTATGGAAAATTTAATTGTAGCTATTTCCCAATTCCCGATTGGCAGCGAAAAGACAGGTAACACAGGTAAAAATTATCTCTCGCGGTGGCAAAAGAGTCCAGTAGTTATTTTCAATTTAAAATTTTTCAATTTAAATTATTTTCGATTTCTGCTCTCGTGAAGTCAAAATTGCTCGTGCACTTTATCAAACTTTTCTGGTCAATTTAAAAGATTTTCAAGACCAGCATTTTATCTGTTTGTAAAAACCAGCATTCGTAAACTACTTTATTCCTCAAACATTACGTCATCTTATATATTGCGTAGATTCATACACAATGTTTCATTTAATTCTGAGAACACAATATATTGGGGTGGAACCATGAAATTTGACCAATATTATAAGTAACATTTTTAAAAAATCTATATTCTTTAAATTATATAATAAGAGACATTTAATTTTTCTTGAAATGTTTGTCATTCAAAACGCTGCAAAAGGCAACTGACATTAAGTTAAAAGCGTTTTCCTTTGTTAAATTAGTGTATACAACAAATAACGAAAATATAAAGTAAGAAGAGTAAGTCATCTCTAAGAAAATCAACTTTTGAAAACATTAATAATTTAAAAGAAACGAGGCATGCAGTGAAAGCTGGTTTTCGCCGTACAGGGGTTGATGGCAGAAGGGATAGTCTGAAGATTGAAAAGTTGAGCAAATTTTCAACGTTGTTCGGGTCATTGTGTTATGGGGAAACCGGAAAATTTTTACTGCACCTCTGAAGTGCTAACCACTGTACACCTTTGCGTCCGGTGACGACGAAAAGCACTACCGGAGTGAGTTTTACTCATCGTGCAGAAACAAATGACTCAAATATTGCGTTTAGATGCGAAGACATAAACGCAGAACAAAAAAACAAGAATACTTTTGAAAAATTAATGAGTTTATAAACTTAACGAATAAATTATCATTACGAGCTTTCAGTGATTCGTCTAGCAATTCTACAGCAACGCCCTTTATGTCAGGCAAAATAGTCCTTTACCCCACCCCCTAAAGTTTATATCCAAGTTTCGGCTCGGACTGCCACTTTAAGATATCTTTGCATAATGTAAACTTATATGTTTTTAGAAATCATGAGGCATATAGCACTCTAAACAGCCAAAAGTAACGATGATTTCTAAAATAACTGTAGTTTTTGTATAATTAAAAATGCATGTGCATCTGTCATGACAAAATAAGCCAAAGGAAATGCTTATCTTAACAACAAATCTTCGGTGTGTGATAAGCATGTTTTGGTTTTTACATTTACATTTACAATTCTTTAATTTCCAATCAAAGTATTTTCTGGTCTTTCTTGAATTATAATATTGTCAAAGAAAATTGTTAGTTTTTCACAAAAATTGAATTTAATAAAAACCGTAAATATATGATGATGACATTGCAAAACGCAAACGGCAGCAGACAAAAATCAGGCTTAAACTGGGAGCTTTCATACAAAGGAAAACAGCGAGACAAAGTTTTGAATTGTAAAATAGTGAATTGCAGCTTACTTTAGCTATAAACTTAAAGTGATGTGTTTTGATATAGAATATACTTAGAGCTAGAACAGAGGCCTCAATGACATTTTTTTACATCTTAATTGGACGCTATACATAAAGCTCTCTCTTATATTCCCACAGAAATTTCACACGAATGAAACGACGGTAATTGTTTTCGGCAAAAATTCTCTTGTAAAAAAAGTTCTGGAAATTGTAAACAACAACGAAATAGTTAATTATTTTCAATTCTTTTTTAAACACTACAACAAAGATTAACACATTCAAAGTTTAAACATTTGTTAATCGCAATTGGAACAGAATATAGTCCTATCAAAAATGCCATTAAGATAGAAACAACAAATCTACACACCCCTTTGATGTAAAAACAGTGATACAGTGTCGCAATTATGTCAAAGTTGCATGTATTCTGTTTATACCAAAGAAAACATGCATTCCATTTTTAATTGACGTTGTGAAGGACGTAAAATTTATTTTTTACAAAACCTTTGAAAGATTTATTGCTGAAGACATAAGATTTAGCCAAAAATTGTTATAAAGATTTATGAATAAGCGCTCAATGGTTAAATGTGAAATTTTAAACACACATCAATTGAACTATACGTACCTATTTTGTACTTCACTAGTATAAAAATACACAATATTATTTAATACAAAGCATTTACCTGTTATCTGTAACTAGTCGATGTCGCTGACACCAGTACTAAAATGACAGCTGTACTACTTTGAAAGTTTTTATCACGAGTATTGTCATGAATAATAAATGTAATAAATGAGCTGTAATTCACTGAAAGTGCTTGTTATTTATATTTCTACAAGCATTACTTCATCATATAGAGGCTCATTCCACATTTTCTATTCACTTTACTATCTTTTACATTCATTTAGGAAAATCAACATGAACCAAGAACAAGTACATGCTTAAAGCTCAATGTAACTTATCAAATTATTGGAATTTGACCTTTGATGCGACTAGTTATGTAAATATATGAAAGAATTTATTATCTATCTATATTCACGTTTAAATGATAATGAGAGAAATTTGGATTGTTGCTCTTAGCATTTTTTGACGTTCTCACCATGCACCTATATCTTACAATTCTGTTGTACGTGTTGTCAAACTAGACAAAATTTAGATTTATATAAGCCATTATCTCAGTGAAAACAATGCCCCATTAGTTTTGTGTGCGCAAAAATATGTTTGTCTTAAATTTGAGAAAGAATTCCTTTTGTAACACAAGAAGGACAAGATTCAATAAGGCTATAAAGCTGCATAAAGAAACAAGTTGCTCATTGAAAAAGACGACAATTTTTTTAAATTGTTGACATTTCTCATTTAATTTTCATGAGCAACTTTACAAAAATTTTGTGCCATTCTTCAAGATTTTTTTCAAGCTATGACATACAGACTTTAAACGTTCGACCTACACTATACCGAAAATATTACACAGCTTAGATCTATGTTGTAGTACACTCTGTCAATATGGGAGGTCTCTTACATTACCTGAAATAAGAAATTGAACACGTATAGGCAAGTAGTTTAAGAATTCTTAATTTAAATGAATATTGTCCAGCATTATGAATTCAAAAATGTGAGCTCTAGCATCGATCGATAGGATGAACAAGTACAAGTTTAATTTAAGTATAACGCTGGAAAAAAAACCATTTCTCAATTTAGCAAAACTTACGTCATTTAGCTACTCTGTTTTTACTGATGCTTGACATTTCTTATAATTGTTTGCGTATGTTGTTTAAAAAAACAATGGGAAGAACTAACCAATTTCATATTATCCATTTCTTCGAATCTAAACTTCCCTTAGGCTTCTTCAGACATTATCTGATTCTCTTTCTAAGAAATATATAAACAGGATACATCTACGTTCATTACATAAATAACCAGTCTAATAGAAGAGAGTTTAAAATAGGCTACAGCCTTATTTTCTAATCAGCGTTTTATACCAATTCCACTTCGTGTTATCTGATACAAAGTTAATCACAACTGTATTAACAAAATTACCAATTCATCTTTCCTCTAATCAATAGCAACTGTGTGCAGGGAGCTTGAGCTAGGATAGAGCAAAATTTAAAAAAATTTCTTGGCATTTTCATCAGTTTATTACTATTTGTTGAATTGTGTAAAAACTCTTTAGTCAAGTCAAGGTTTATAAGCTTGTATAAGCAAAACGTCTAGGTTATTAGAGTCCTGAGAAGTAGCTACTGTTTGTGTTGATGTTGACTTCTCAAGACTCAGTTAACCTGCGTGATCCACATTTAAAAACATTTAACGATACTCCTGTATTAAAGAATTCACTCAACATTTATACGTTCCTTAAATTATCTCAATATGGACATTTTCACTGCAATTTTGATTTAAGTGACTTGTGTTGACGTGGTAAATATTTTAGCTTATCCATGCGTTCGCTTACAAAACTTTTTAGCATCGGATAAATGCGAAACTTCTAATCTATTCGCCGGTATTACATGTTGTAGAGCAGCAAACACAGAAGTTCTGTAACAAATTCTTTTACAACAAGGATGGAAAAGATTGTTTTCCTCTCTTAAGATCGCAACCAGACCGATTTCGCAAAGTATATACTGATCGTTTACACTTTAACCCTTTTATCCTATACTTACATTTTTGAAGCACGTTTTCCCGTCAACTTCTAAGAAAAAAGTGAGCTAATAACACATTTATGTAATTTACCAGAATTTTTATACATGTTTATTATTCCTCATTTAAGTTGATAAACTAAGCGATGCTTCGTTGATAAACTAAGCGTATTCTTTGGGAATGGTTGCTTTCCACATATTCCCAGTGCAGTTGCTCGCTGAACAATCGATTTCAAGGTCAACATGCAGTGAATTCAAAAAACGTAAAATTAATTCATTTGACGATTGTATATTTGCAATGAAAATTTCAGGGTGTATAAAAATACCTTTAGAAATCATATTATTATCAAAATTTTAAAGCCAAATCACAAATGCTGGTTTCGCTGGTCCGTAAACATGCAAATTCGAATCAATTTCCTACAAGGCATGTTTTAAAAATGTTCCAGTCATGTCAAATCTTCATATGCTAAAAAACTTGTGTATATGTACGAGTATGACAGCATGTAAATATGAAATAATAAATATCTAGGTTTAATTTCTAAAGATCTTATTTTTATTCACTCTGTATTATATGAGATTCCTCAAAGTACTACATCAAAGTGCTGACTATATTTATTTAAATAAATTTTATATGGCTCTTCTAGGAACTTTAAGTGAAAAGCTTAGTGAGAATAAGCTCAATCATGAAGTATATAAATGAAGGACAATTCATTTATTAATTCTTCATAATTAATGAATCGGCTCCATAGAATTTCTCGCAAAACGGAGAGTTTTAAAATTTAAGAAAGGCAATTTCTTTGATTGTTTCTTTGATTGAATGCAGCAATAACTTTCACTGAGTCCTAGTAATTTTAAAATCTTGACAAAGCTTGGTTTTGGAAATTATATTGGCCCATCCCAACATCTTTCTTTCATAAATTTTTGATTTCTTCAGTATGTTATCGTCATCGTTTATATGATTATTACATACTCAGACCCTATAAACGTGACATTTATACAAACGAGTAGCTAAAAAGCTCATAATTGTTTGCAATAGACCTTTTCAAGGTTATCGCAGCCATATTCCAGGGGGAGCAAAAACATTGGGCCAAGCGCGCGGTCACGCATGCAGGGGCGGATCCAGCTTCTGGGCTGACCGTGGCCCTGTGACGTAGCAAGCGCCTTCGGCGCGAGGCAACGCTAGGGGGATCTGGGGGCAACGCTAGGGGGGTCTATAATCTCATCTAAAAAAATTCTAATATCGCCATTTTCTTAATTCTGTTCGGATAGAAAAATGAAAATTTTACTTACACAGAATTGTTGCCGCAGGAGTGAGAGAAAGATGAAGCATGTTATTTTTGCAGTGAATAACCAAAAGACAGTTCACTACAAAAATATAATTCCCCATCATTGTTGCCCCATCAAATGGTCTTTTTCGAAAAGCAGCAAGGATGCTTTTGCTAACAGCCATAAAGATGGCAAGACTAATAAAAGCAATGTTCAAAGGTGGTCTTCTTCCAACAGCAGCAAAGATGTTTATCCAACAATCGTTATGCTGGGACTCGATGACAGGATGGGTAGAATAGTATTTTGCATTTTCAAACATTTCAACACTAGTTAGGAATCTCAAGTAAATAGAGAGAGTCTCATTCCCAACTAATGCAATAGAACATGCATTGAACAGACAATTCCATTGGCTAAAGTACTAAAAGAAAATTAGTATTTAAGTATCAATGGCTGCTTTGTTACACCAAGCTATACCTGGAAACAAATTTGCTAGACTGACTCTGACATTAGAATAAATAAGGGTAACCAATACAGTTAAAGATAGACTAATAATATTGAAATTGAGAAAGTTATTTTGTTTTTGTGTTAATTTGGTAACATCATGATAAAGTCAAAGTCACAGGCAGGTAGTCTAAGATTTGAAACTAGTCTAGGCATGTCGAACAGGATTCAGACGACTTATTGATTCCATCTACTATAGCATCAATATTCTATATAACCCGTGAAAGAAAGTAACAGTTATTCAAAATGATATGTTAGTTTCTTTAATCAGGGAATAACATAAAATGCCAGGAATACAAGGATAATACATTATTGATTGGGTTAAATTTTAAAAAGGACTAGCTTTGACTAATATTGAAGTAAAACATTTTTTTTAACAGACAGTAACAATTAAAATTATTTAGGCCGTACATTAGACAGACTGAGTATGCAAAATAATGACAGCTTTAGACATATATTTTACATGATACACGAAATATGAATAGCTGAAAATTAACGGATTGATCATATATTTCAGGCCAAGATGTCAAACGTAAATAAAAATATAAATTAATACCCCAATACATGTAAATTCTTACCTAACAGGGACATTGGGGCCTGACCTTTCAATTTGGCTTTCAGGGAACTGCATTTTTGAAAATAAACAAGTTCGTAGCATAATATCGCCAGTAGAATTTATGCGACGAAGCCTTTCCTCGTTGATTATTTTAACACAGTGTTGTCTCAAGTTAGACAATTCACCAGAAATAATTTCGCAAGCGTTCTCTTTCTGAAAGGTTTGGACGAGCTTTTCAAGAACATCGATCTTTTTAGAAGTTTCCATTGATCCTAATCGCTGAGTAGAACTAGAAGTAGCGTTTTTTCAAGTCGACAAGAACCGAGCTATTGCATATGACCATTGAGTTCTATAAGGTCTTTTAGAGCTCAATGCATATGACTTGTATTTATTGCGCAATCAAAATACATTCACCGTGGCTCACCGTGGCGCACATGACCAAAACGTTCCCTGTGATTGGCTTGCAACGCTGCACCGTGGCTGAAGGTTACTATATTTAGCAACTATTGCGAAATTTTCTGAACGCTGACCGTGGCTCTTCATTCTGAGATTGCAGGTTCGAATTTACGAACATATTCCGAGCATATTCATGGCGTATTCGGCAAGATTCGAGACGCTTTCGGTGATTTTACAGTTCAGAGTTTAACTGGATGATAATACTATTTTAACAAGACGTTTAATTTGAAGTTTTTGTTCTGTTAACACAAATTTTTGACAAAAAAATTACAAAATTCATTCAATTTTTGCCTTTGATCGAATTTT